TTTAGGAAATATATCCCGCTCGTACGCTAATATTTATAATGTAAATTTTCGTTTTACATATACACAGATTTTTTTTATGATCAACATAAAAAGGAAATTAAACTGTACAGGGATATTGTGTAAATGTTATTGTTAAATATGCAATACTAATAATTAAATACATATTTAATTAAACGATTCCATTAGGATATGCTTTTTTATGGAGAGTTTGAAATATTGATTAGGTACTGTTGAAAATAAATTTAGTTTTAATTGGATTTACAGTTGTTGTTGTTTTCTATTTGAGATTTTCACTCAAATCTTTTATACAGGTTGTCCCAATATTACAATTCCTGCTGATTCTTATGTAAAATTGACGACCTGAACGGAAATATAGGGGAGTCCCTGTTGATTTTTATCATAGTTTTATCACTTTTTGATAGCAACAAATTTTAGTGATGGGATAACTCAAGCGAAAATTCGCTCGAGTACTCGATTATTGAAATAACCGACATCGCCCGATTATGAACGAGCGATGCAAGTGACCAGTTACGAGCGACGAACGCAAGCGATCCTAGAATGAAATAAATTGAAATCCGATTTTCAAACTCGATAAAAAGCCGAGCGAATTTTCTACATACATTGCGGGTAGCAAATTTATACGACGTTATCCGTTGCGTATCTGAGGGATAAAATATTACGACCTACATCGACAATGCTTTGAAATAAACTAAATCAAGCGATCAAGTGAATCGCTTGCTACTTGCCATTCATCACCGAAAGAATATGTGCTCTGCGCACGCAACTTACTGCTTGGCGCTTGGCGTTAACGAGTACTTACATCAAGCGACGGTCGAAAAAACGTATTTTTAATTTGCTCGATTGTTGCAATCGCTTGAAACTCGAGTACTCGATTATTGAAATTAATCGGTTTTCCCATCACTAATAATTTTATATATATACGGGATGTCGAAATATTCCGTAGATATAGAACTATTACGTATTTTTGGAATCAAAATAAGTTCATTCGACACAATTTACCTCTATACAAAAGTACTCGTTTGTCCACTAGAGGGCATCAAACTTTAATAAAATAAACACACTTTTTCAAGTATTTTAAAAACCGTTATTCTCATTTCAATGAGATTTTGGGTGTCTCTGTTTTGCTAAGTGCTTTAACATTTAATATTCACAAAAATCAAGAAAAAGTACGGGAAGAATAAAATCTACCCCTACATAAATTTTAGCTGATGTAAATCAGCTGGGCTGTTTCGCTGATGAATTTTAGGTTATCCAATTAATTTGAGATTTTACTCAAAACAGTAAACCTCTGACAAGACTAAAAAAAATGGCAAATGTAAGATAAGCCTGTAAAAATACTTTTATTGTTGAAATAGAAATATCAATTATTTTGTGTAAGAGGTGTCAAGAGTGTGAGTGTGAGAGGTCACAAGTGGATATTTTGTAGAACCGTCAAGAATTGAAGTTAAATGAAGTGTTGTTAAGTGTAGAGTTGCGGTTTTATGTAAAGTGATAAAACCTAGCTCTAACCTAATTATAGTCTGTCCAACGAGAAGATCCTTGACAGTGATAGATGTGTCTGTCATTTTAATTTCAAAGTTTATTTTATTTTACAAAGAAATAAGTTGGTACAACTGGAACGCATAGCAGAAAATTAATATATTTAAAATTTGACTAACAAGTGATTACTTCAAAATATATTGTGAAAAAAACTGTATAAAACTGAAAAAATGTAATCGAGTTATTTTATTTAATAAAAAACGGTATGTCTTAATAAAAAACAAACAAGAAAAAGACACCACATACCAAAAAAATATAAAAAAGAACTATTTCTTACTTCAAGCGTTATGAAACTTCCCGCATTTATGATTATATTTATCAAGATAACTTATGTACAAATACAAATTTGTAATATTCCGCAGGAATAAATAAAACTTACCAAATTTTATACTTTAAAGGTTGATTAATTAACTTTAATCTTAATTTTTCTAAACCAGTACCTTTTGACATTATTTTTCTGCAGTACTAAAATCCATTAGTATCGTGTGATGTCGATATTTTACAGCTACTCCAGTTTTTAGTATGTGTTTAGTATGGTCCTTCTACCATATTCGAGATGCACTTATCTACGACGAGATGGTATACGAACTTTATTGATGGTAACTTTATTGGTGTATAAGACTTTCTGCCTGAGCAGCGAGTATTAACCATAAACTGTGCTCTGAGTCTACAGTTAATTTTCACTCGATTTTTCCTCCACTTGACTTCAAAAGACACAAAACACACGTAATAATACGAATCAAAATGCATCATCTTCCAAAACGCAGAGTATTTGACAAAAGTTTTGACACAAAATTATAACCTATAATTTGGCAAGACTTTGACAAGCGTCATAAATCTAAAGGCGAGTTCATACGCATCGGCGTCCGTTTGTCGTTCATCGTTCCGTCAAACCAATAAAATTAAAATACGATCTGTCATTTTTAAAATAAACCAATAAAACTGGTTAAAAACAACAAGGGACGACGCATGACGGATTTATATTTAAACCCATCCATAGTTAACTTAAAAATTATTGGAAACTTTTTTTAGTAAAATAAATAGATTGGTATTAAACGTCATCTGCTTTTCTTCTGTCATCGTCTGTCGAAATCTTACCTTAAAAAAAAACAGAGTATATATCGATCTGCTAGCTATCGGAGTCTCGTTTTCAAATGTTGGTATTTTTTTTATTTTTAATCTGAACCACGGGGGTGTCACTTGTATGGGAAAACAGGCAACAGTCAAATTTAAACGTGCCAGGACCAACGACAAAGAAAGCAACATCTGCCAGGCATTGGCTTTCTTTGTCACTCACATTGCTTAAATCATGATACCGCGGCCATTTTGCCAACAAAGAAGCTGGCCGGCTGTCCTGGCAAGTGATTTAAAACAATTTTGCTTTTTACAATATTAAATTACCATTTGGATGTATTTAATGCGATTATTCAATTAACTGGTAAGTCAGAAATTACACACAAATACTTTATTCGTAAATACAACTAAGATGTAAACGTAGTTTTGTATTTTTAGATTTCAACTTTTGCAAAGACCCGCCGATAGAACTTGCCTGGCAGCGTACCTGTTTAATTAAACGTATTATTTCCTGATAATAATATCAAAACACGTAAGTACCTCTATAATTTATGATGAAAAATGATTTTGATTATGTTTTATATTATTTAAATACTTTATAACCTCAAATAATAGTAAGATCCTTGTTTATATCGCACAGCCCGTTCAAAACTGTATTGTCTTCAAAAAATGTTTACAGAACAAACAATTATTACAAAAACAATGTCCTTTTAATCTGATTTATACCTCAGAAGGATGCCAGTTAAATTTTTATTAAATCAACATTACATTATTTGGCCATTAATATGCAAAAAGGAGCATATTGCGTTAACTTAAATTTTCTTTTACTTCTCCTGACAATGTTCTCTATATTCTCTATTTTGAGTTAGTAAACTTTTGAACGGGATGTGCGATATATAAAATACATAATATATCCAAGGGTATGATCTGATAAAAGTATTTTTTGATGCATTTTTTGGTTGTTTATGCACATTGGCTTGGTTTATGTTTTATTCAGCTTATATTTATTTGGTATAACAGTTTTTTTTGCCTTTGGAATGGCATGCATTGAGGCTAGATAGTGTTTCATTAGACCATTAAAGAAATTTAAATTAGCATATATTTTTTGTGATGTTAGTGTGTTATCATGATACAGGTAGTTGTATCATAGTGCCTTATGCATGTTATTTACCTATTATATACTTATGTATTATCAGTAAATAGATGATAATATACTACTAAAATGTCTTTTTAATAGTATGTTTATCTGTCCAATTCACTAGTTATTTGCAAAATGTATTTTGAACTAATTTAAGTCATTAATTGATCATCTTTCTTTTTCAGGTTCCGGGATATTCTTTTTCATTGTTAAAAAATATATATATTTCATATTATTGTAATATAAATCGCAGCTCTAAAAAATAAATGATATTGTTTACTAATGTGTAATTTATTTACTATGAATTTTCTCTGAAAATAATAAGTCTTTAATAATATCATTGATTTGCTGTGTAAAGTTAATAGACATATTTTTTAATACATTAAATTATATTAAAGTAATAAAAATATGTTTATTAACTTTAAACAGTAATCAGTGAGACTTATAAAAATATTTTTTTTTAAATTTCCCCTCTTTTAAGACCCGCCCCTCCAATTCCCCTCAATTTAGCTAGTACTGCCAGGCGACACCAGGTGGCGTCTGTTTCCATTTTTTAACATGAAGTTAGCATTTCTTTAATGTACCTATTCCCTGATCTGAACTAAAGTCGTTTTCAAATCTTTCTAGTCGATGCGTCAACACTGGGCGTCGAACAAGCCGAGATTCAGGGTGCAGCCACACTATCATAAAAACGGCGTATCGGCGTAACGGCGTAACGACCTTGAATCGATTTCCAGTAATTCTATTGGCTGAAATTTTTGACAGATGAATTTGACAGATAAAATTTCTGACAGATGAATGCTTCAGCCAATAGAATTACTGGAAATCTATTCAAGGTCATTACGCCGTTACGCCGATACGCCATTTTTAGGATAGTGTGGCTGCACCCTCAGGTAATTGCTTGGTATTTGCGACTGATTATCGTTTGCTGGCGGCGGCTCTCAAAATGTTGCTATTATTAAGATTTCAAAGCTAAATAGCTCGGTTATTATCAATTTTTTTAAAAATAGTAAAGGGAATATATGTTTCTTTTGGCCAGATCTACCTTATTTCTGGGGCACTCTGCAAAACTTAAATAATTTGCATAAAAGATTAAAAAATAAACTTCAATATTATTTTAATAAAAAAATCAATTTTATTAAAAAAAACAAGAGGCGTATCTCTGTACCTACGTGCACTCTAACCACAACTCATCTTCCCTAACCTAAATATCCCATCATAACCTCACCTGTCTCTGTGGTCTTGAACGTGAACGAGTCGGAAACGGGGCTCCAGCCGAACTTGTTCCTCGCTTGTACCCTGGCCTCGTACTGCTGTCCCCCTTCCAAACCCCTGATAATGTAGCTCATGGACTGTAATCCAGCGGGTTGGATGGGGCTGGCCGGTAGAATGACGTCCCTCCATTCGAGGCGCCTGTCTTTGGTGGGGCGACTGTAGACGAAGCCGTTGGTGGAGAAGGAAGTCTTGTTTTCCTGAAACAAAATTAAAACAAAATATTGTTTAAAAAAATTGTATATGCGCTACGTTGCATATTTGTAGTGAAACTCCTTCTTAGTAACAGCTTAATAATAGCTGTGTAATTGAAGGATTTGAAGGACATATAGTTTGAAGGAAAAATGTAGTTTCAAATGTTGAAAAACTAATAAATTAATAAGAAATTTCATTTAATTTCACAAAATTTGTATCAAAATGACCGTCTGTCCGTCTGAGGACTCCATTCGGGTACCTCTATCCACGTGCCGAGTTTGGTTCCAATGGCGTGGAAGTTTCATTTTCATTTTGATTTTTTCCAAATAATTTATGAAGTAACATAAATATTTGGATGAAAATTGGTGTCTGGGAATTTTTTGACATGATTGAAATTTGATTATTATGTCAATATGACTCCTACTTGTAGAGGGCGCCACCTAAATATCTTTTAACTGGTTTGAAGAGTAATAACTTTTAGTCCGTGCCTGTATAATATTACTGAGTAAAAAAATATATGTTCACGACATTTTTTACGGAAAAAAAGTCTCTTGGGAAAAATCGCTACGAGTAATGGTTCTCGAGATATTTGGAATCGAAATTATCAATATCTGTCATCATTTGATGTCCTCCATTCGCGAATTTCAAGTTCCAGAGCTTTACGCCCTGGGCTACTCGAGAACGGTTCTGAGAGGAGCTGTGCGTGATAGCCTGGTGCCTCCATATGGCGCGGAACAGTTCTGAACTTTATGACTCAATTGAATGGAGTGAGAATATCGCGTTCTTGAACAGTTCAGAGCTGCACAACTGCGTGAATGGAGTCATAAATTAAATATGTTCACTATACAGGTTGTTAACTGGACAGTTACTTATAGGGAAATAGAATGGCAATACTGCCTATTGAGAACGCATGCACATATAGGGTTTTCTGCCGACTCGTCCCGGACCGAGGTTGCCATATTTTAACCATAAAGCTCTATCCGCGAGTAATAAACACATTAACAACCTGTATAGTAATTAGACTGAAATCATAAATTCCAAATATTGAAAATGAAACTTCTACACCCTGTATCTCCGAAACTAAGCATTTTAGGACATACATTTATACGAACTTTTTTACTTATTTTTATCTGCAGAATATGCTGCCGAAGTCTCCGGAATACAATTCGAACCACCCTGTATAAGTATAACATTGTGTATATCAAAATGAAATCAGCCTTCAGAACATCGACGTTATATATTTAAAATACGTTTTTTTTTATAAACTTCCAACTCAATAGGGTCGTTAAAAGTTCGAGGCAAAAAAGTTTCCAGTTAAAATTAATTTCCTGCAACTTTATAATATTCCTGGCCGCTACTTTCGGTCACCTGCCATGCAAACTTGCCGGAAACTTGTCAAAATATTACAATGCTTCTCGCCTTCATTTTCCTCATCATATTTTAATTTAAAATGACTCGCCTCTCATTATATATGACGGCTACCAGTTTTCTCGGAAATTTACAAAAGTTACTTAGAAAGGAGTTTCTTAAAAAAAGAATATTAGATTGGCCAAGATGTTTTTTTTACATATACAATAGGTATAGAAGGAATGCTTTTGTTAAAAATATAAGTTGAAAATTATATTTTGTAAAAGTCTTCCAAAATGAAATATTTTTAATATACAGAGTCAAGAACATCGGAAGAGCTGGAACAGAAAGATCGAAACAACTGCTGTTTAGATTTTTAAATGGAACCCTCTATATTTAGTTACTTTATTCGATAGAAAATTCCACTCTGAATAGAATGACATATCATATGTCAACTTTTGACATTTTCAAATATGGTTTATTTAAAATTGTAACATGTGGTTCATGACGACAATTAGACTCAAAATAGCAAGAGTGTGGTACCAAATTATTCGTAAAAAAATGCTTTTTCCAAATATGCTAGTGAGCCACCCTCATTCCATTTGAAAAAATGGAAATATGATTAAAAATACGATTTGGGCATCTTTTAGTTGGCCAGGACAAGACACTAAATACATTAGATGATCAAACCTATTTTTCCAAGGCTCCTTGATTAAAAATTAGTGTTTTTAATACAGCCATGACACTCTAGTTGGCATTTTCTATCAAATACAGTAAAATAATACCAAGGGTGCCATTTAAAAATCAAAAGTTGTAGTCATTTCCGGTAAAACAGGAAGTGACCTTAATCAATCCTAATTTATGTCATATACTAACATACCAAATATTTTTTTATCTGAAAAAAAAAATAAAAAAAGCTGTAGGGTTGCTATAGAGATGCACCCGGTATACTGTCTTTTATATACGTTACTGGTCGAACCAAAATAAGTTCTAATAATTCTTGTGATAATTTTTCTTTAACACAGCCAGACAGTAACTAAAATAAAATTTGCTTTCATTATAAATCTTGGCACGAACGTTTTTTATATACAATTTTGTCTCCTGGGTCCTTGGAAGGAACTTTTAATATGTTTTTTTCTTCCTTATTTTCGCTGGCTCATACATTTACATGGCTTAATCCACAATCTTGACAAAAATAAAACCGATACTCGAGTCTAATCTTCGATAATGAAGACCGAAGTACAGGCGGATCTCTTCGAAAAAAACTGAAGGAAAAAGAACAGAAAAAAGGCCTTTTTAATACTCACCGTATATTTTTGGCTGGAGTTTAGCTTCTAGTCACGTAGAATATAGGCGGAAGTTCAATTTCTTTGTATAATTTAACTTTTAAAAATCGATCTTGTCGTCTGATTTTGGAATTCGTGAGTTGTTTTCTGTTTTGTTTACCCTCTTATTTTTCTGTTTCTGGATTATAATAAGAAGTTTTAGCGCGTTTTTTGTATTATTTTGTTATAAGTTTATATTTAACTTGCAGTGTTTTTTATATTAAATTATCCATAAATTTTTCAAAAGATTTTTCAATTAATTGTCTTTTTTAGACAGATGTCACTTGTCTTGTCATTATTCAATATTCGAATTCTCAGAATGTTGTTAACAAAAGTCTCATCTTAAAATAAAATTTTATTCAATCACAATTGTTTATCTCCATCATTTACCGGATTAATAATACAGAAATTACATCTCAATTACAAACACACACAATTCATTATTTATAGTGATTTACAGTAATTATATTAAATTATACGAATATATTGTCGTTGATTATCGGTTTGAAATAAATACGACAGTGTCCTCCAATGAAAATGCGAGTTACTAACTCTAAATTCTAATTCTAAGCTGGCAAACGAGCTATGAAAATATGCATAAAATCAAGGTTAGTACAGTTTCAAATTTATTATAGTGATTTTGTTAGCGGTGTATGGCATAGATCGTTATACCCAGTGTTGCCACAAGCTTATTTTTCATCGGGGTAGATTATCACAAGATAACAGGGTTAAATTGTTTTACAAAGGGGTAGATCTACCCCGAATGGGGTAGCTGTGGCAACACTGCCGCTATCACTTTTTCTCTCGGTAATTCGCGCGTCACGGCCGTCTCGCATGCGTCTCGTGGCCGTCATTCAAGGCCATGTGTCACCGACTTGAATTTTTACTCCCAACGCGCGTAAAGCGTTTCACTTCAAAAAGTGTGGTAAAATATTGATAATTTAATATTACCTTAATTAATCATTATACCATAATGATTCATTTTGTATGGTAAGATATCTCTATTTATAAGATATCAGTGTCCAAAAAGAAAGTAAAATTTAATTCACATTTTTCATGCTCATTTTAATAAAAATGGTAATTTTAATTTAGTTTAAATGTAAATGTTTTGTAAAAACAATCAAATGATAGCAAACAAATAAATAAATTCTTTCCTACGCTAGTCAATACAACTTCTGGATTAATATTAATGAACCCTCTGTATTTTCAGCTCTTGTTTATAGGCGAATCCATTAATAGATAATTCAAAAAGGTAGTAAAAACAAGTTTAAGTAATTTAAAAATCGATGTCTATAAATAATAGAATAATTTAAACAGTCTAGCGTAAAACAAGTAAAATTAAAGCATTATTTTATCAATTTTCTAGAGGAAAATATAAAACTGAATTTCTTTTCCAAGAAATAATTTAACATAAAATGTTAAAGACAAATATTTTAGTTGAAAATGTAAATATTATTTTTCAACGACTTTAAAATGGAGAGAAATGTAGAAGCTGCTTTTGCTTATTTGATGAAAAATTTGTATAATAATTTTCTGTTTCTGTGTCTATTTTGTTTACCTTTACTTAAGAAATGAATTAAAGTAAATATTTTTTTACATTTTTTACATTATGATATAATGACACGAGGGTTCTCTTTATGTTTTGCAGATAGAAACATAGTAGGCGCCCGTCAGCACATATCAAATGTCAAAATTAACAGTCATCTTGATCTCAGAAGATTGATATGTCACATATCGGGAAATTAAAGCATTTCAGAGACTTCAATTTCAAAAAATTTTATATAAAGATTGTCTGTAAAAAAGTATTTTCTCGTTGGATACTGCATCTGTTGACGGAAAAACAAAAGTAATTAGAGACAATTGGTATTAAAAACCTCTACAATGGTTTAACGCAGGAAACTCAAAAAATATAGACAGTATTGTCAGTGGTGATGAATCCTGGTCTCTTATAAACCCCAAAAATAAATCCCCAAACCCCAAAAATTACAATAAAATAAATATCAATCGACTGTTTAGGTGTTCCAAGATGAACCAAAACCGATAGAAATTATCCGTTCTCCAAGTTTTTCCAAAAAGATGGTGGCGACATTTGTCTCAAAAGCAAGTCATGTATCAACAATTCCTCTGCGAAACCAAAGAACTGTTACTGATTGGTACGTACCTATTTGTTTGCAGGAAGTAATTCCTAAGTTTCGGAAAATCAAACTTCAATGACAAATAATAATCCTTCACCAAGACAATGCAAGTTCCCACACAGCTCGAAAAACAATTAAGTTTCAAGCTCAATTCAAGAAAACATCGAATTGTTGAACCCTCTCCTATACAGTGCCGAT